TCTGTACAGAGAAAGATTGAAAACTTGGACGACGTTAAAATTAAGAACTCATCATGGAAGACACCATAGGGAGCGCTAAATCATCAGCCACCAAGTGAGGGAAGGTATTTACAACACATATAAAAACCAAAGTATCAGTATCGAGAATATAAGAAGAATTTCTACAAATATATAAGAAATAGAAGATGCAGGAAAAAATGGGCTCACTTGAGCAGGTGCCTAGTAAAAGATAACATACAACTAATGAGTAAACAAATAAAAACTTTCTCCACCTTATTAGCAATGAGGAAAATGCACATTATATCCAGAAAAGATACTATTATACATACTCCAAGTTGGCAAATATCAAAGTATCTGACACCACAAAGTGTTAGTAAAAATGTGGAGCAATGCTTGTTGGAATATAAACAACATTTATATGAATAACATAAGAATACAGTAATATTATCATATTCATATTGATTTTAACTAATGAATGATTATTACCTAGTACTGATTGATTGCTAATATTTATTAATTAATAACCATATATTGAGTAATTGTATACAATTAATAATATCATGGGTAGTTCCTCTCCATGTGGCTCCAGGGCCCCCTCCAAGGTGTGAATAACAGGGGACTCCATCCTAACTCCATGTGTTCCACTCCAGTCTCCACCTCTGTTGCCCGCTCTTGGAGAATTGATACTCCTGTCATTCTCACAGTGACTCTTAGGTAAATAAGTATGTGTTACACACATCCTCTTAAGATATATCTTCCACTGACACCGATCTTGAATCCCCTGGTGCTCAGAGAGCAGTCATTGTCCTGGTGGAAACTGAGGAGGTGACATTGACCTTGGGGATTATATTTTGTACTTCCATCATGTTCATGTGCAGTGACTAGAGCACGGTAATCACGTGCTTGGCTACAGTGAGTTTTAGGGTTTCCGGATATCAGGTGTAGGGAAAGTTCAGAGCATCAGGTCACTTGTTCCTTGGGGTGAGCAACAGAGATATCTGCAGTGCCAGCCCCAACCCCCACCTGGTCCTCTCTGGCCTTTGTTCCACTCAGCACTAGAGGCATCTCTCAAGCTGAAGATTCCAGATCTTTTCCAGGGATAGCCTCATTCCCCTAACCCCTATACTGTGTCCTTTCTATTAGGAGTAAGAAACAGATGAGGTGGGTGAGGGGAGAGGAAATTGCAACTGAAGCCACAAGGCATAGACAGAGGACAGGAAATGAAATTTCCACATCACCTCTACCAGAAAAGCTGGGCCTCAAGGGCAAGGAAGAGGCCAGGCTGGACCACCTCAGGAGCACAATGTTCATCCTAATAAACATAAAATAACCCCAACTACTGAATTGGGAGAAAGAAGCAAACATTTTCACATTCAAGAAGGGCTACAGAGTTCACCTCAGAGAGATGAGTGTGTATATATTTTTTGCAAAAATCTAATGATAATATTTTTTAATCAGGTGAAATTCACATCACATAAAATTACTAATGGTAATTTTGGGTGTATAAACTTTTGGAGGATTAGATGAAGAGGAAGCTAAAATGATGTTGGATAATAAAGTATCATGAACTATAGGCATCCCCCTTGTGGAAGAGAGAGAAAGCAT